AAAAAAGATTTTTTTTCTGTTTTTTTTTTTTTTTTTTTTTTTTTAGAAATAGTGGATCTTATTTGCGGTAGAAGATATTACAAGACATTAATTATAAATCTATTCATTATAATTACTTTTATAATTTTATGATTATTATGAGGGTAGAAAATCCTGCACCTCCAAAGCAATATTTTATTAAAAGTATTTTTCTTATCATACTGCTTCACTTGCAAGTCTTCTTTTGTTAAATATCTGTTGTTATTTTTATATTCCTTTAAGATATTAGGGCCTAACTTTGAGAATAAAAAAGGAAATCTGAGTTTTAAAAAAGGTTTAAAATGTGGTTCAGTGCTTTTTATTTATATTACCTATAATAATATTTTCAAAACATTTTTATAGTAACAGAATTCTGTTAATTAATTAACATATGAAATATAAATAAATGGTTTTTATGTACAGATAAGAGTTAATTAATGACATAATGGGAAAAAAAGATTTCATGTGAACAACAGTTAAAATATTAAAATGTCTAGGACTTAACAAATACATGAAAGTTCTAAATTGAAACAAACCAAATATCACCACATTATAGTTACAAATACAAAATCTGAAATAAATTCTAAATATATACCATTTTGTTGGAGATAAATACTAATTTTTAAAAGTAAATTAACTTAAATTTTTTAGCATTATATTTTATTTTATTATTAGTTTCAAGTATACAATACATTGGTTAGACATTTACATAGTTTATGAAACGATCCTTCTGATTATTTTCCCTCTGGCTCTACACATAGCCATTACATTACTACCGACTTCATTCCCTATGCTGTGCTCCCCATCCTGGTGTGATCCCCTCTGGCCATCACCAGATTGTCCTCTATATTTGTGAGTCTGTTTTTGATTAGTTTGTTCTTTTTTTTCTCTTAGATTCCTCATATAAGTGAAATTATATGGTATTTATCTTTGACTTATTTCACTCAGCTTAATAACCTCTAGGTCCATCCATGTTCTTGAAAATGATAGGATTTCATTTATTATGGTCGAGTAATATTTAATTATACATATGAACCATAATTTCTTTATCCAATTGTCCATTCATGGGCATTTAGGTTGCTTCCAAACCTTGGCTAGTGTAAATGGAGCCACCATGAACATAGGGGTGCGTAGACCTTTATGAACTATTGTTTTGATTTTCTTTGGATAAATACCCTGAAGTGCAATGCATAGGATTGCAAATTGGTATGGCCACTGTAGAAAACAGTCTAGGGTTCCTCAAAAAATTAAAAATGCATCTACCTTTTGACCCAGCAATTGCATTTCTGGGTATTTATCCAATGAATTCTAATTTTTAAAGCTTTTAAGTCTCCATATTATTACATATATTTATTAGAATTTCAATAAAATAACAACAGTGTCCTTATGTATATTTCTTAAAGTCTGCATGGAAAACTAAAACAAAGCCAGGTATATTCTGAAAAAGTACATTTTGTAGGTAAGCGAGGTAGAGTTTAGCTCTACCAGATACTAAAGAATATTATATAGCTTCAATTAAAAATACTTGCATTGAAAATCAAAAATTATACAAAATATAAAGTTCAAAAATAAATCCAAGTCATGTAAAAATTTTGTATATAGTAGAATTGCCATCTCAATTATTAGAGTAAATAGGAATTATTCAGTAACTGATGTCAAACAACTGGGGGAAAAATGCAGATTTGTATCTTATAACACACACTTGAACAAATTCATATTGATAAAAATTTTAAATATAAAAAATTAAAATGATAAAAAAATCAGAAAAATGTTAGACAATTACTTTGTAAATTTGGATGGGGAAGGCCTTTATAGTTTCCGATAAAAATTTAGACACTAGAAAGAAAATACTGGTCATTTGACTACATGAAAAGCAAAAATGTCTGCTTGTAAAAGACATCATAGAAACAAATGACAAAACTGCAAAACATGTAGAAAATATTCCTAAATAGACAAGAAAATGTTAAGCTTTATTAATAATGGGAGCAAAGATAATTTTTAAAACACCATAAATATATAATTTTTCTTCCGTAAGTCTGTCAAACCTTTAGTGTTTGACAACTTGATGATTTTATCCATTGCTAGCAAAGTGTAAAATCACTCTAATGTCAGATCAGGGTAGTTTTGCAATATCTATCATATTATAGATGTATATGCTGTTTTACCTAGCTTTCCCATCACATATGCTTCCCATCCACATGCTGAGTAATATTTGTGCAAGATTATATATGGCATCATTGGTTTTCCGAGCATGAATACAGATGCAGAAATGATTGTGGAATAGTCCCAGTACCGATATAACATTTGATGAGATATGTAATAAAGGGAAAAGAAAGGAATGCATGCAATAATAATGTAGAATCATATGTTTAATAGGCTTTACAGTCAGCTTGCGATTATCTCTGGAAGTCTTTTTCTATGTTCTTTGCCCCAGTGTTCTGAAATTTCACTATGTTTGGACTTTAGTGGATAATACTCATTTTTTAAAATTGAGATATAATTGACATATAACATTATATGAGTTTTGGGCATACAAAACAAAGATTCTATATTTGTATACAGTATAAAATGACCACCAAAGTAATTGTAATAAATATTTATCGCCACAGGTAGTTACACATTTTTTTCTTGTGATGAGAACATTTACGATTAACTCTCTTAGCAACTTTCAAATATATAATACAGTATTATTAACTATAGTCGCCATGCTGTATATTATAACTCCAGGACTTATTTATTTTATAATTGGGAGTTTGTACCTTTTGACCACCATCAGCCATTTCACTCATCTCCACCCCCTGCTCTGGCAACCACTTATCTGTTCTCTGTATCTATGTTTTATTTTTTCTATTAGATTACACATATAAGCAAGATTATACTGTATTTGTCTTTGACATTCTTTTATTTTATGTAGATAAAATAAATTTTCTTATGCCTCTAGCAATATTATAGTTTTGATTTGTTTTAGTTTTCTTCTGTTCGATTTAGTATCTCAGTTTTCTGTACTTTTAATGATTGTTTGTTCTTTCTGATTTCAAATCTTTCTGCCAAATAATAGGTAATCATATTCAATAGTGAGGACCTAAGACTTATATGTGAAGATGAGCTGTGATGACTGGCAGCTCTATTAGGGTTGCAAGTTGTCAGCTGGCTGTTCATTGCAGGAAACTCAGTGAGCTTGGTATCTTTGCAGCAGGAGCCTCTAAGATTCTCTTTCCTGGGAATAAACCCTGAAAATCATTTGTTCGTGGGCTTGGGGAAGTGAGCGAGCGATCCAAATAATTTTCTGGGTTTGTGATTTGGGGGAGAAGCTATTTCCAGAACCCACTTAAGTATAAAATTCTCAGATACCTTTAAGTCCTGATTTTTGCTAAGTATATGAGATTGTTTTTCATAAATAGGCTCTCTAATTACACTTCTGTGTTTCAATTATTGCCATTCTGCTAATTTGGTCACTTACCGTCATCTTTTCAGCTTTTCAAAATGTATTAAAAATACTTGCTCACTATTATCTCCTATCTCATTCTCTCTATAGGTTAAAGTTTTTCTTTTTTTCATTAGTTCTTTTTGAGGCTTTAGGAAGAAGGGGCAATAATATTTCAGTTAAATTCAAATGTTTAATCACATACATTATTATGTAAAACTCTATGCTTATAAACTGGACAACTTTGATAAAATGGATAAATTTCTAGAAAAATACTAGTTGGTAAACTGATTCAATAATAAATATAAATATACAAGCTCTAAAGTAATTGAATAATACAGTTTTTAAAAATCTTTCCACAAAGAAAAACATTGGAAATATATTATTTTCTACACAAGTTCACCCAACTAGTTGATACATAATTAAATATAATAATACTTAAACTTCTCCAGGAACATTTATCAATTGATTATATGAGGCTAACATTACCATATTTGACTTATTTTCATTCAGCACATTGAAAATATTATTTTTATTGACATTACTTAATTTACTGATTTTTTCTTTTCTTGTGTCTCATCTCTAATAACTGCATTCACTGATTAGTTTATTCCTAATATAATGATAATTTTCTATAATTTTAATATTATAAGCAGTTAAGTTACACTGGTAAGATTGAAAGATTTCTAACATTTTGCATGGCTTCCTAACTCTTCCTTTTTTTCCAGAGTGGTATGTGAGATTTCTAAATGAGGTCTGCATGTAGCAGGAAAATTTCAGCTTGTGAACCATGTTTACTTTACAATTCAGTTATAAGTTGCATGGCTTACATGATATTTTTTTCAGGAAGCCATGCATCACAAACCGTAGACTTTAGGTTTGTTAACCATAAGCAATTTTAACATAAGGAAATTACCTAGATGAGTCTGTGGATAAATACTACCTCCCTAACAAATATTATTGGTTTCTTTACTAGGAGGTTTATTTATGTTTACAAGGAGATATATTAGCCTCCTATGTTTTTTCATTACCCTAGAATATTATAGCTGTTAATGAAAGATAATAGGTTCTCAATTCAGCTTAATTAACTCCTTCCTCTCAACAATTCTGTAATTTCCATTTTTTTTAGTTTTCAAATTTTTATTTCCCTAATTCCCTATTTACCAATTTATTAATATTTTTTCTATGAATACTTTAATAATACATTTATCGTAGATATTTTACCATATTGGTGCAATAATTCTAAGTTTAGGCCATCCTTATATCTATCACTAATTTTCCTCTTTAATACGGTCTTAGCTATTTTGCAATCTCATTTTTTATTGTTTCAGATATGTCTCACATTAGAGTGTGAAGTAGCTAAATTATATATGTATATCGTATGCATGTGTACACACACATTACCTTGCTTCACTCCTTTCTGTCAGAAAATTAGGATAATGTCCTGATCATTTTTCCATCATAAATATTTTAAAGATTTTTTTCCCAAATTTCTTTTGAAATGGTTTCCTATGCAACTGCAACATATAAAGAATAAAAGTGCTTTTTGTATAAAATGTATTGCTTATGGTTATTACATCATTTTTACAATTATTAATTGGAAATTTATTGACATTTAATTATTTTTAAAAAACGCATTCACTTGGATGCTGGGTCTTGGTCTGATGGTTTATTTCTCAGTCCATTTTTAGAGTGAGAGGATTGGATCTTATTCTATTTTAGGTCTCTTTCAAATTTAATATTCTATAGACATAGAACATTATTTTTGGTAGGCGTCAAATTTATTTTATCAAGTAATTTGACAGCTGTCTTTAATAGTTCAGTGTGAGTTCAAGTTTGTTAAAAGTTATTATTTGTTTTTATTTATTTGAAAGAATCTGGAGACGAAAAATGTGAAGTGGCTATTGATGTTCACTTCTTTCTTGCTGCAAACTATACTGAAGATGCAGTCCATGGGAACTGGTCTGAAGACCTTAGTTGTATATGTCCATTCCAATGTGAAGAAACAATGGAGGTAAGGTAAATTGAATATATGTAGTAGTCTCTCATTTGTCTCTTTAACTCATAATTGACTGATTTGAAAAAGCTAGAAGTGTTAAGGTTACCAAATCAATGTCCAAGATATGCACAGCTTAAAAATAACTTCATAAACAGATTCTCAGCAATCTACTTGGCAATCTTTTTTTACTTCTTATATTTACAATATAGAGAGGCAATAAGGACTTTTAACAATAATTTTATCTCTAGTCATTTTGTGTTCTATTTATGTCATAATTTGATGACTGATTAAAGTCTCTCAAATACAGTTATGATTATGCCACCATTTGTTTAAAGACCATAAAGAATGACCATTGTCTTTTGGAATATACTTAAATCTATTGGAGATTTCCAGTCTCTGGGCAACATGACCACTAACAATTATGGGACCTAATGCAAGAATACAAAGAACAGCCCTCTTTTTTTTCAAGTCACCTTCATTTTGTATAAATTAGGGCAATGTTTTCAAACAAATAATAAGAAACAAAAATTTTAGGATATTAATTTTAAACATTAAGGAATATTTTTGTCAAAATGACTCAGGAGTTTTCTAAAATGTTTTGAAAGTTAACAGCATATTTGTGACCTCTCTTCTCTGGACAAAATCTAATTTAGTCATTTTAAAGAAATAAGCCATATTTGAATTTTATCTTTGGTATATCATTCATATAAAATTTTCAAAAAGATTTATAAACTATTTTCATTATGAATAAATCCATTAACTTTAAGCCAACTATATAAAATATAATACTGTTTACTTCAAAAACCATTTAGAGAGGTATTACTAATATAGGCAAACAGGTTTCAAATTCTTCAAACCTTTTAATTTCAAGTATGTCCTCAAACGTATCTCTTATTGTTTTTAAAATTCATAAACATATATATTAAGTTTAATATACTTTTACATGTATGTATTTAGCCAATCACAGATACTTGATTATGCACATAGATGACTAAATTTTTATCTTTATTATTTATTTAACTTTGGCAGCATATTAAATAATATTATATGTTAAATTTACTAATAAACTGTATACTTTTTCTTAGGAAATGGACAAGTAAATTATATTATTATCTTGTATATATATTTCCATTTCTCTGTATTTCTTTAAAATAATTATCAACTTTAAATAAAGTAACTAACATTTTTTTAGACTCAAGAGAAAACAAAAACAATTCAATAACTTTTAGCTATTTTATTTTTTATGATTACATATTTTATATTTTTTATAATTTTTATGTTAAGCAAAATAAACATAAATATACATATAGAAATATAAATATACTTCAATTAATGATATTTTCATGTCTTAATTTTCATTCTGTAAAGGAACAAAGGTCATTTTTTTAATTACTTAATTTTTGTGGGGGAGTGACTTGATTAACAAAATCCAGTAATTTTCAAGTGTGCAATTCAACAGTAAGTCATATATATATATTGCACTGTGTTTTCATCACCCATAGTTAGGTTTCTTTCCGTCACCACACAGACCCTTTTTACCTCTATCTGCCTCCCCCTCTGGTAACCAATAGTCTATTGTCCATGTTTCTGTTTGTCATGTGTGTTGGTTGTTTTTAGATTTCTATCCCACATATACATGATATCATGTGGTTTTCAACTTTGGCTTATTTTGCTGAGAATGATTATCTCGAGGTCCATCCATGTTGTCACAAATGGCAGTACTTTATTTCTTCTTATAGCTGAGTAATATTCCGTTGTATATATGTACCACATCTTCTTTATCCAATCATCTGTCATAGGACACTTCGGTTGCTTCCATGTCCTGGGCACCTTGAATAATATTGCTATGAACATCCGTGTGCATATATCTTTTTGGATAAATGTTTTCAAGAATTTTTGGATAAAAACTCTGTAGAGAAATGGCTAAATCAAATGGTAGATCAATTGTTAGTTTTTTGAGAAAAACACTATACTGTTTTCCACAGTGGTTGTACCAATTTGCATTCCCACAAGCAGCATATAAAGGTTCCTATTTCTCCACATCCTTTCCAACACTTGTTATTATTTGTCCTGTTGATAATAGCCATTCTAACAGGTGTAAGATGACATTTCATTGTGGTTTTGATTTGCATTTCCCTAATAGCTAGCACTGTTGAGCATCTTTTCATGTTTGTTAGCCATTTGTATGTCTTCTTGAGAAAAGTATTTGTTTAGGTCCTCTGCCCACTTTTTAATTTATTTTGGGTGGTTTTGTTGTTTGTTATTGAGTTATATGAGTTCTTTATTTATTTTGGATATTAAACCCTTATTGGAGGCATTGTTTGCAAATGTATTTTCCCATTTGGATAGTTGGTTTTTTTTTGCCTCATTGATGATTTCTTTTGCTGTGCAGACACTTTTTCGTTTGATATAGTTCCATTCATTTATTTTTGCTTTTACTACCCTTGCCTTTGAGATCAAATTCATAAAATCCTCTTTAAGTCCAAAGTCCATGAGTTTCATTCCTATGTTTTCTTCTATGCATTTTGTTGTTTTAGGTCTTATAATCAGGTCCTTAATCCATGTTAAGTTAATTTTTGTGTGTGGTGATAGACAACAGTCTAGTTTCATTTTTTTGCAGGTGGCTTTCTAGTTTTCCCAGCACCAGTTATTGAAGAGGCTTTCCTTTCTCTATTGTATATTTTTGGCTCCTTTGTCAAAAATTATTTGCCCATATAAATGAGGGTTTACTTCTGGACTTTCAATTCTGTTCCATTGGTCTGCGTGTCTGTTTTTATGCTAATATCATGCCATTTTGATTATTGTCACTTTGTGGTATAATTTGAAGTCAGACAGAGTGCTACCTCCAGCCTTGTTCTTTTTTCTCAGGATGGCTTTGGAGATTCAGGGTCTTTTGTGCTTCAGTACAAATTGGATGATTTTTTGTTTTATTTTTTTAAAAATTGCTAATGGGATTTTGATGGGGATTTCATTAAATGTGTATAATGCTTTAGGTAGTAAGGTCATTTTAACTATGTTGGTTCTTCCAATCCAAGAACATGGAATATCTTTCCATTTCTTTGTGTCTTCTTCAATTTCTTTTGAAAGAGTCTTATAGTTTTCATTATATAGGTCCTTCACATGTTTCATTAGGTTTATTTTTGTTGCAATTGCAAAAATAATATTTTTTATTTCTTTTTCTGACAATTCATTGTTTGAGTACAGGAATATTATGGATTTTTGAACAATAGTTTTGTATTCTGAAACTGTATTTGTTTATTATTTTGAGTAGTGTTCTTATGGAGTCTTTAGGGTTTCCTATATAGATATTCATGCCATCCACAAATAGTGATAGTTTGACTTCTTCATTTCCTATTCGAATGCCTTTTACATCTTTCTCTTGCTTAATTGCACTTGCTAGGGCCTCCAATATTATATTGAATGACAGTGATGATAGTAGACAGCTTTGTCTAGTTCCTGATCTTAGAGGAAAGGTTTCAATTTTTCACCGTTAAGTATAGTGGTAGCTGAGGGTTTCTCATGTATGGTCTTTATTATGCTGAGATACTTTTCTTCTATACCTATTTATTAAGTGTTTTAATCATAAATGGATATTGTATTCTGTCAAAGTCTCTGCTTCTATTGATATGCTCATATCATTCTTCTTTTTATTTTGTCTATATGGTGCATCATATTAATCGATTTGCATATGTTAAACCATCACTTTGCCCTGGGATGAAGCCCACTTGATCACAGTGTATAATTTTTTTAATGTGTTGTTGTATTCAGTTCACTAGTATCTTATTTAGGATTTTTGCATCTGTGTTCATGAGAGATATTGGTCTATAGTTTTCTTTTTGTGTGTTATCTTCGGTAAGTTTTGGTTTCAGGGTAATAATTGGCCTCATAAAATGAGTTAGGACATATTGCCTCCTCTTTGACTTTTTGGAAGAGTTTGAAAAGAATAGGTATTACATCTTCTTTGAAAGTTTGATTAAATTCACTGATGAAGGCATCTGGTCCTGGACTTTTACTTTTTGGTAGGTTTTTGATGATTGTTTCAATTTTCATACTGCTGATCAGTCTATTTAGATTTTCCAATTCTTCTTAATTCAGTCTAGGAAGGTTATATATTTCTGAGAGCTTGTCCATTTTTTCTAGGTTATTAAATATGGTATCATGTAATTTTTCATAGTATTCATGTAAGATCCTTTGGATTTCTGTGGTATCTGTCATAACTTCTCTTTTATCTCAGATTTGATATAAGGGAAATATTAAACTATATTTAGATACTAATAATTGCATATTTTTCTTAAAAATTGTTCAGGTGTCAAAAGATAATCTATTAATTTAATTTAATATCACTGTAAGATTTTGACTTTGGCCAAAGATTTGGAAATTGCGATTTACTCCATCATGTTAAGTCCTTATTATTTATCAATAAAACATTCTCATATATCAGTGTAGTAGAATCAATAAAAGTTAACAAGGTTAAACTCTTTTAAATTATATCCATTATTAAAATTTCAATTATTTTTAATATAGTTGTAAAAATCATAAGCAATCTGAGGAAACTAATAGAATAGTTATTTGAAGTTTAAATTAATTATTTTTGTTTTCCTGAAAAGTCATTTATTTAATGGAAGATTACATTAGATCTTTTTAATATAAATAAACCTGTGTTCATATATTTAAAAAATCAAGAAATTCAACTCTATACCAAAACTCTAAGGGCCTAATTTTCTATTCATCTAAATGAAAAATTATATTACCTATACATGTTTTCTGCTTTGCTAAATTTTGGCAAAGAAAAAATATAAATAAAGCACAGTTAATAATTTTCCCTCTTCTTATATTTTTAACTCTCTGAACAATTTTCCTAATATATATATAT